ATCTTCTAACACTTTCATCAACAACAGAGGCCATACTTTCATTATTTCGTCAGCGCCATTAATTGGGTTTGATTTTGATTTCTTTTATAAAATTATAATTATTAAATACATGAAAATAAATAGTTTTGTATTTTTATTATTCCGCATGTACTATAGTTGAAATTTTCTTTTTTGTTTTTATCCATGCTCTGAGATTTCAAAGATATTTCCATTACAAATAATAATATGGTCGGCATTATACGAGTATACAGCACTGGCACCAAAGTTTTTAAAACGCCTAACTTAACTTAAAAATAAAATACAATAACAATCCAACAAGCGTTCTGTTTCTTTGTACATAAAATAGATTTACAAGCTCGTATTTACGATTGTGGACTTGAAAGACAAGTAGTATTAAGATACTAAGATACTCTTTTGATTTATGTAGAAAATTTTATTTATTCATTTATCTCTTTACTGTACACAACTGCAATATTATTTGTACAGATATTTGAAAAATTTAGGTATAAGAATAGGCGGTCTTATCGCTCACGGCGATCTCTTACAGACGACCTTTAATGAAAATGCTTTTTTTAAAATATGTTTTCATACATGTAAACATGAAATATGCCACCATGGCATTTCGGACTTTTGTAATCGATAAAGCTTTTTTTTTCACGTAGAAATGTGGTACAACATTCTACGTGACTATTCAGAATCAAGCTAATTTCACACAGGACTCGGAGCAAACCATAAACTTAGTAAGTATACTAGTGATATATATATGATTCTCTTTGTTCAAAACGGTGTATCTTAACAAAACATTGCATATTTTCTGTTCCCAGTTTATTTTTTTCAGACATGTTGAAAAAAATTTCAACATAAACCTAGGCTTCTCATTTATTTATCAACCCACACAAAAAGGCCATAGGTTTTTGTGTGGGTTAGGCACAAACATGAATGGAAATTTGGAGGCAATTAGAATTTTAGTTTCATTTAAGCAAATAAAATTTCCATCCATAATCAGCCATATTAAAAAGGTAGAAAGTTTCAAACATTTAGATAGCCGACTTCCAGATAATGACCCTAAGTTTACTATGTACATTTGTACATCATTTTAAGATATAATCGATCGGTATTTATTATGGTGTCACTGCGGCAGAGCACATTTATTCACCAATGGTACACTATAGTGATGAAATAGTCCTCAAACCAATAATTTACTAATTTGGTAACCATGGTTTTCTTGAATTTTTAAGGTAGATAAGCCTAAAAATTAAACCAAATTTTGGTAAGTATAATTTTTAGGTATACCTTTCAGGTTATTAGATGGTAAGTCGCTGCCTTTAAAATCATGGGGGAGGAGGCAAGTGGCACTCCGGTAATCCCACTCCCTCGATGAAAAGCAACGAATAAATTGCTAAACGCCGGCTTCTTGAAGGCCGTATATCACCCCCGTTAAGCCGCCCCATTATGTGTCAAAGCATAGCTCAACCACGACTAAAAAATTTTTAAAATTTAGAAATTCTAATTTTTACCCGACTTCAAAAACGAGGGTTATCAATTTGGATGTTTTTTTAAAGTATTTATTTTATGTATGGGCACAACTCAAAGGATTTTATTCCCAAATGGTCCCATTAATATTCCATATAGATCTGGTGATGACTTTCGGAGACAGACAACGGAATTCTTAAAAAAATGACATTAAATCAACCGCGATTGCTTTTAGGTCCTTAGTGCTCTTTGTTGCTATTGTTTAAAGTCGGTTCAACTTTTTTAGGGTTCCGTACCTCAGAAGGTAAAAAAGGAACCCTTATAAGATCACTTTTTTGTCCGTCTGTCCGTGTGTCACCACCGATTTTCTCAGGAACAAGTAGACCTAGCAAGTTGTAATTTATACCAGATACTGAGGTCTATGGTCCCTATTAGGTGTATAAAAATCAAGGTCCTGAGTCAACACGATAAAAAGATATGGGCAAATTTCTATTTTCGCAAAAACTTGTAAGTACCAAAATTTACCTTAATGGTAGTTCCCGTTGACCTAGAATCACGAAATTTTGCAAAAAGAAACGTCTTACAGCACAAATAAAGGAATAATCCCAAAAAATCTACGTAAAATCTGGGTAGGTACGGTACCCTCGGCGCACGAGTTCGACTCATACCTGACCGGTTTTTATTTGTAAAGGATTTTTATAAAATGATGAATGTACCAAATTTTTGTTCGGATTTAGAATCCTTTCTAAAAAAAATTATGTGAATATAATTAAACTGCACTGACTAATATACTGTACGTCAGTTAAAACTTTCATATTTTCTAACTTTTTAAATAGTGCCGCTCCCTGTCTTGTAGTTCCAGCTACTTGACATTCACGTCATGATGGCCCTCACAATTATTCACTAATGGAACATTTAAATGCGAAGTTTAACCAAGACCTCCGTCCTCACAACCCACAGTCATGCCACACTGAGGTTTTATATGCTAAGCGAGGAAGAAGGAGTTCTAAGTAGGGTAATTTCATCCACCATGAGATCTTTTGCGAGTTTGCCTCTCTTTGACAATGTTGAAAATTATCAAGAGAACTTAAGATGGAGTATACTATGTAAGGTTTTTTTAAATTATATTACCATGCCACGATCGTATATTGGGTAATGTTGTTTGATGATTCAATCGCAGTTTATATTACCTACTGATATACATGTAGATTACATGACAGAATAAAAATACTAAATAATAAAAATACTATATATTTATAATCTATATTAATATATTTTCAATCTACAGAATATGAAGTGTAGAGGCAAGGGGAACTATCTCATGTGTGAGCAAACTTGAAAAATGACCAGCTGTACACTGAAAATAGAGGTCGCTGGCCTACGAAAACCTACGATATGAACGTAGATGGAGTGAAGTGTGCTAAGTTAAAATTTTATAATATGTTTACCGTCAGAAAGTTATTACAAATCTATTTATTGTCTGTAAAACTCATTGGTTATTTTTGCAGTCTAGCACACAGTGTGTAATTATTATTCAAGCCAATTTAAATTTATCCTTGGTTACCGCAGCGCTACCCTTATCAACGCGTTTTTACGGACACTTTACATACACAGAGATGGTTCTACTTGCCTTTACCCTCCATACTGTAGACGCAACTGTGACTTTGTACGCGTCACGTAAGAAGTGAAAAACCACGCACAAATATTGTGTGTAATTTCATGTAATTTAAGTTTTGATTTCAGTCGAGCCTAAAAAGCAACCATTTCCAATGTTAATTTTTGAGTAATTGTAGTTATTGTAAATGTTGACAAATATTTCACAATTCAATCATCTTTACATAGTATAAAATAAAGTCGCTTTTTTGTGTGGTACGCTTAAATCTTTTAAACTAAGCAACGGTTTTTACTAATAGAGAGAGTGATTCAAGAGAAAGGTTTATATGTATAATACATGCATATCATAGCAGAGAAAATTTGAGAATTTCAAAGATTTGTCGTTAAAACATTGTTTTTGCGCGCTTACATTGCAAACGCTGTCTAATACTTACGATATAGATCAAATAATATAGTACAGAATTGTATATCTTAAAAAGATCTACAAAAAAGTAAAAAAAAAATAGATGTCTAACTGCTATGGATAGCCCAAAGTAACCATATTTATATTTTAAATATTACAAAAAATAATGGGTTTTATGAAGTTTAGTATTTTATTATGTTCCTTATCCCATTTACGTTACATATGTTGTGCATTTATCGTAGATTAAAATTGCTTTTTACAGTATCTCATTAAAATGAATATTTTGGAAGATATTAGAGGTTTAAAATGCGGGGGCCAAACAACCGTAGAGCCATACGACCGTCCCGGGTGGCAGCGGCCGGCAGGATCGGAGCGGGCCTATAAATATTGCATAATAAGTATAAAGATGTCCTGTAGTATATTCCTATTATAATAATGGTATAATTAATTACTCCACACTAACACCACATTATTATTATTAGTAATATCTACACCGCACCCGTGCGAAGACGAGGCGGATCGCTAGTCATCTATGTTTTTATTTATTAATGAGTAAATTATTAAACTAGATTGTAACTGTACACTTACAAAATAATTATGATTTATTTCGCAATGTAAATAATACAGATATTTATTTATGTCCACTTAATAAGAACAAAGCCTTAAAAATCTAAGACGTAAAAGTTTTTAAGTATCATACCGAGGGTTCTGGTAGTAAGAACATTGAATGTGTTTAGATTTCCTTGAAAAGATAAAAAAAAGAGAACTTTTATATGTTGATTATTGTTTCAAACAAATTTTAAATATACTGTATAGTAGTGCCTTACTGAAATAAACATTTGAAAAGTGAATCAACAAAAATTCTGAAAACATTCTGAAGCAATTTTATCAGCCTTGTTTTACTGTCAAGGTCATCGCTATACAAATGATGGTTAGGTGGCAATTAAGCTAATATTATAAAGATGATAATACACTGCAAATAATTTAGTAAAAAGTAATTTATAAAATAAAAAAATTGTAGTTTCATCACTTATAACTATTTTAACCAAAAAAAAAATTAGTTTGGTGAGTAATTAGATTTGCTTGATAAAACGCAACATCTTCTTTTAGTCTTTTTGTGTCCATTGTATTTAGTAATACTCTGATTTTAAATTTTGAAACTATTGGAAGATTAACAATATATCAAGTCCTTTATAAAACAACTCATCATCGTTCATTGTTTTTGTTATTGACATATCTTTGTTGGAAATATTCATGAACACTCAAATATTTAAAGTACTTTCAAACGTAAGCATCTGAAACTTCTACGAATCATTTAAAACAAACCGTCAGACCTAGCATCACAAAAAATACTGTCTAATCAGTGAAGATTAAAGTATCAACCACAATTGCTGGTGCAAATTTTGTGTCTACAGATAAGCTGAGAACTATATATTACTAAACAGATACAATGTCAGCTTGTAACAGATTCTAGTGTTACTAGGGTGCGCCTGTCGAGTCTAATCTAACAATGTCTCTGGAACCACTGGAATTATTACCTTTTGAAAAGTGGTGTGAATTACAGACTATGTTCAAAGCAGATTGGCCCCGAGGTATCTCTGGTTACACGGTTTTGGAAACTCAGAGAGTATTAATCGAAAAAGGTTGTGATTACGGTTTTAAAGTTTATTGCCCTTTCGGTGACCTAAGGAATGGAATGGTCGCCGTTAATGTAAAGGTATGCGAATTTATCCTTCTTTTGTATAGGTACGTGTTTTATATGTAAAATATGTGTTTCTATAAATAAGAACTTAGTCTTGTTCTTAAATAACACAAATTTTTTAAACCATCTGTTTGAAAACTTGGTTATATTAAAAATTAAACTAAAAAACAAAATGACAAATGTCATAATCAATGTCATATGTCATGTCAATGTCATAATCACAAGGGATTTATTTTGCATTTAATAAAAAGTTTAATATATCTTATTTATATTAATCTTTGTGTAATTTTTAACTTACTTTTGTTTTAAAGTAACTTGAATAGGATATTAATAATAAATAGGCAATTACTAGTTTGCTTTGCCTTTAGTATAAAAGTTATGAATCTGGATTCGGAATAGAGTAAATTATCACCATTATAGAGAAGTCTAAGATTCTGAGCATCACAAAACAATAAAATATTTTAAAATATATTCTACAAATATATTAATAATGTAAATAATGTATGCACATGTGTGGCAAGAGACCCACATAGGTGTTTTATTTAGATTGCTTCATTTTTAGTTCACTTGTTTGTGCGTCAAATTTTCTATCCCAGATCTAGAATTAAATTGTTAAAAGGAACTTTTTTGTAATAAGTCCCAATTAGGAGGTATAGCTGATTTTTTTAGTGAAATACCTACCTATTTATGACTAATGTAATTGGATACTATGTATTTCTAGGCTGTTATTTTCTTCACAATCTCTTCGATGAGTAACCATCATTCTTCTCTAATCTTCTAAAAATAATTATTTTATTTTGCAGGATACCTTTCATGAACTCATAGTGTTATGCCCTCAAGATGACACCGAGAAACTCGAAGACGCTCTAAGACGAACCAAAATAGTAAACTTACATGACTATGACGTTATTCCATTTGCTCCTCACCACGTGAGACAGTGTATTCAGAGAGTTTTAGAAGAGCATGTTAAATTGAAACTAATATCATCAGACGCATTTATATATGATAAACCGGCAACATTTACAGGGACCGAGTAAGTTATTAAGATTTATTTTTAAAATTGCAAGGTATTTTTGCGCATTACTTCTTTCTTTCAAATAGCAAATTTCAACGTTAACCTATGCAAAATTTCCATTAAAGTCATTTTGAAAAATGTGTTCGACCACTCACAACAAATATATATGGACTTAAAATTGCAGGAGTTATGACTAAGTGTTCCAGTCATAAACGACGTCGTCAGACAGACGTCATTTGCGGAGCTCAACTTTTGGCAGAAGTTAATATCCACCTCTAATTAATAATTTCATTAAACATACTTCAACAATTGCTCTTCTCAGAAGATAAGGCCTAAGAATAAATACCTTAATAATTTTAACTTGTTTAACTTACTTTATTAAAGACTCGGTGAGGCGGATCTAAGGAATTTGATAATTGTGGAGTGCCTATTTTTCTTTATTTTTTTCTGTCCGGTGGCTATGTTCGACTCGAACCGACTAAAAACCGCACGCCGTCTCGAGTACCAGTAGCCGGGGAACCAGGTATACCCCAGAAAGGAAATCCCTGGTACCCCGACGTACCTCGGGGCATCTACGGCGGTTAGATGACCCCCTCCTGTGTGGGAACCCCCCTGTTCCCTTGGTGCTCCTCTCTCTCCTTTTGGGCACGCGCGCTCCGCAGCGCGTTTGCCGCCACCCTGGCCTGCTTCTGCTAGGGTGACAGATGGCCTCACCTGTCACCCCCAGGCCTGCGCCTATGGAGGACGGAGGTCGTTCTGCGACCTCCTGCGTCCGAGTCGTTTGCGGTACCGGGCCTGTTCCCGGGCCTGGCGGGCCGGGAGAGTTCTAAGCCTCTCCCGGGCCTGCTCCACCATCTCCTTCGCAAGCATAACTTGCTCACGGAGGAGACGGCGGAAATTGTGGAGTGCCTAAAAAAATAGTTTTATATCTTCAACATGTTACGGTTTTAATCTATAAGAGTTTTTTTTTTAATTTTAGAGTGCCTGAGGGAATTTCCTTTGGTATCCTGACATCAGAACACGTGGACTTAGTTGATTCGAAGTGGCCATATCGTTACAATTCTTCGCGTTGGTACTTTCAGTTGATGATTAATGTGAAATTTGGTTATGGTCTGTTCGAAGGCGGCAAACTTATCGCCTGGGTTTTACTCAATGAATCAGGTGCCTTACTGAACTTGTACACTCTAGAAAGTCATCGAAAAAAGGGTTATGCAGAACTTATAGTGAAATTGGTCAGTAATATATTAGTGAAGGAGGGGAAACCCGTGGTAGCATTCTGTGTCAAAGGAAATGTGAATGCCCGTAAACTATATGAGAAACTTGAATTTTTGAACACGCATTCAGTTGAATGGTGCTTTCTTAATAATAAGTTTATCTCACTTTTGGATGTATATTATTGATTCAGTGATTCGTTTACGAAATATTAAACTTTAAATTGCTAATTTTTGTTTCAATCAAGTTTCTCCTCAATCCCTACAAACAAAACTGTTCCTTGAAAAACCTGTAAAAATGTGGTAGTATATACATACCTTTAGCAAATTTAAAAGAAAAATTATATTTGCTCAGTTACTACTATTAATTTAAGAGTAATAAAAAATCCGTACTACATAAGACATCTTTTTAAGAACAGGGAGTCGGAGATCCGAAGGAATTTTCCACTTCGTCACCAAAAAAAAAAGGTAACATTCTTAAAAAACATTCGGCAATTCACTATAGATTCTTATACATAAACGCATTATCATCATCATCAACAGGCTTTCATAGCTAAACATAGGCATCTGCTTAGAAAAGAGGTTTAGCCAACTATACCGCCCTGGCCAGACGGAATGGTATAGGGTTTGTGTCAAGTTTTCCTTCGCGTTTTCCTTTGCAGTTCTGTTGTCCTGCGTAGTTTGCTCCCTTAGTCGTCTTATGACAACCACAGGATGAATAGGGGTGGTATAATATGTATGCAGTACAAGTTCTGTTTAGTTTTAAACTAGATGGCGTTGTGTGTCAGATGTCCGAAAATATGTCCGGATGGCGTAGTGGTTTAAACGGTGACCTAGCCGCTTCCTACATGGGACAAGTTCACAAGTTGTTGTTCTGAGTCTGGCTGTTCTGTTTGACTGTGTCATGAATGTTTGTGAAATCCCCCGCGACAGGATTTATTCCTAATGCGTTAGTTGTCTTTTTTACTCTCTTGTTATAATTATTATAATATTAGTGGTCAACCATTCGAATTGGCAATTGTCTTTTTAATGTTGATTAAAATTTTAGATTACAGATAATTTTGTGTTTATAAAATTCATTAATTTGGGAGGAGTTATGATGAGAGAGCCTAGAGCCATCCTTTACGTATATATGGTCTGTATACTCGACTGGAGTAATACTACGGCCTCACCGAAAACCATTTTCAAGCAATTAGTTGGTTGGTTTTCACCATGTAAGTGAGGATCATTTAATTTGCCTGCATGATGGTGGTGTAGTGCTTCAAGCGGTCGCCTTCATACTGCGCTGCGCTGCGCTGTTGTGGGTTTGATCCCTACATGGGACATCACTTTGTGAGATTCACAAATTGTTGTTCTGAATTTGGGTGTTCTTTGTGTTCGTTTTATGTATGTTTGTAATGTTCCCCGTGGCACAGATATGCTAAAAATAAAACAGCTCCCTTAACAATCCTTTCTCATAATTCTGGAGGAGGGAGAGGGGTTCAAAATGCGGCAACGTACATGTGACTTAGTTGCACGTGTCCATAGGCGGTAGTTGTCACTCATCATGAGATGATCTGCTTATTTAACCTCTATACCACAAAAAATATTATTTTGAAACAATCGTTTCAAAGAATAAGCGAGTTCAGTTGACTGCCTCAGTGGTGCAGTGGTAGCGTATGCGACTGCTGTGCTGAGGTCTCGGGTTCGATTCCTGGGTCGGACCAATGTTTGTATTTTCTGCAAATATTTGTTTCGGAGTTTGGGTGTTTTCTATTCATAATATGTATCTATTTACAAAAAAAAAAGTAGGTATATAAGTATTCTATCAGTCAGTCTAGTTTTCATAGTACAAGCTCTGCTTAGTTTGAAGTTAAAGTAAGTCCAAAATATTATTATTATTATTATATCAGTCATTCTGTACTGCAAACTTGCTGGTGATATCAAAATTATCTGCCAGTAGTGACAGTTAATACTATATAACCACCGGAGGTATCCAAGGGGGTATCCGCCCAAAAAAAAAAGTTGTGACAGACAATTTCAAGTATATTTACATGGAACATCAGGTACAATGTCGTGATATCTAGTTAAGATAAACACATAGATCTAGAATATATTTTGAAGCAATTTCACGTGAGCGTAATCTTATCAGCCTCGCAATATCGTCAAGGCTTATGGTGGTAGTTGTTAACATAGATGTCACAGGAATTTGTATAGGTAAGACATTTCTAGAAATTAAAGAATCTTAATAGATTGAATTTAAAAACTCGACTGAAAATGCATTCAGGCAATCCATACGCTATGTCCATAAAGATATACAATCTGTGATAAAGCTTATGTAAGGTTAGGTAATAATTTCTTAATATAAAATGTCTCTTTGGGATATTATGTTAGTATTTATTTAAATACTAACATAATATTTTACAGCCAATGCCGTCACTTGAGTCATCGACTTCCCTGATTAATCGATTATAGTTGACTTGGGAGTTATATTTTTAACATGGCAACATTGACAGGGGAAGTGGATAACAATAGTGGGGATTGGAAGGGAGAGAAATAAAATGGAATGGAGAACGGGGCAGTCGAGTTGGGACGGTCAAAGTGGTAAGTCGTTCTTGCTTATAATTAAGAGTGAATTGTATAGTGTGAAAGTGTCATTGTATATTGCATATAAACCTGAAATACAATACCGGTGTTATTACTTTATATCCTTGTCAATTATCATATAACTACACATACATATTCAGGAGGCTTTATATTACACTTATCTCAAAAAATTAAATAAAGGATAACACGGTTCAATATACATTGATTAAAAATTTTGTGCGAAAATACAGAAAAGCAAATTTAGAACAAAATAAATTTTAAAAAATATGGCTGGTTTAGAACACCATTGTTAACTGTACACGGCAGCGTCGCAATGTCGGCGACTCATTTCCTATTACCTACCTACTAATCAAATCACTTGCTTTTTAAAATCAATTTATTTAAAAAATACGATTTTTTCTCGGCAGTACGTGTAACTCCTTGAAAAAGTAGGTACTTTAGTTGTCTCGTAATCTTACAAAGATTAGCGCCCGTACAAAAAATCAGTTATCTACAGACTGCTACTGCCGAATTTTTGCCGGACATACACGATTGATTCCATACCTCGGTTTTTCCGTAAAGCTAAAAGTGCGTTTTGATAGAGTTCCCGGTAAATTAACATCATGTCAGAATATTCCGCGGCTGTGAAGGTCACTCGCGGCATTATGGATGTCGATACCAATAACCCAATAAAATTAAAAGACTGATAATGCACTCAGTTTCACACACACTACACTACACACACACAATCTAATATTCTCACTTTTCAAAATAAATTTAGCGGGACTCGTCACAACACAAAGTCTTGCCCACACGATAACATTAATAGTTTACACCATTGTCGTGTATTAAGTTTATGCCGAACGCAATAAGGCTAAACAATAATTAACACAACAAAACTTTTCTAAACACATATCTCACGAACAACAACAATATTATTATTACGATAATTTATTGTGAACGCATCTACAAAGACACAGAACAGCCTGACACTCAGCGATTCGCGGTGGCTAAGGGCCAACCGGCCGACTATCAGTACTTACTGGATGAACTAATTAAAAACGCGTGTTCTTCATCCTGGTGACGCAATAATCAACATATTTCGTTCGATTCGAGTGTAGTAAAAGTGGCAGCGTGTGATATTAATGTGCCGCGTATACAGCTGATCGCCGCCTGAGGTCAATGTATTATGACTGCACAAAACAACAAAATTGACCTGTTTCTACACCACTGAATGTTTTTTTCATATTTTGCAAATCGTCTAGAAATAAAGTAAAGAATATATGGGTTTAAGGTTTGACAAAAGGAAAAAAAACATAGTGTATATCACATACGAACAGAAACATGAATGAAAATACAGTGTGACACACAACACCGTCCGGCGTCCACTCTTACTCCAAGGTACTCCAAGACTACCCGTCTTGGTGGGAGAGTGGATCGTTTCATCCCGCACAGGGGCATATACGTCTCTCCGAGCAGCACTACATGTTGGCCACCTACCACGGCCAACGATTAAAGCCTCCAAGACTCCGCTCTGAGTTTAACTCTGTCTCCATCCATTTCCAAAATCATAATTGTAATAGTTCAAAATAAACTGTGAAAGTGAGCTGACGTATAATTTCTCTCAATAATTTAATTACCGGATCGAACACGTGTTACCACACGAGGCCGACCCCCCTGATGTTGTATCATCTATAAAATCAATATCAATAATCAAATATATAAAAATGTTCAGTTTCTTTGTCTTTCTTCGCTTCAAAAACTCAAAACGTTCTACACCTCGAGCTCAAATTTTGACACGACTTATAAACCACTTCAAGTATTGTGTTTAGCTGTACTTTTTGAGTCAGTTTTTAAAAAACTATCTTTGAAGCGTGTTGTACAGTCATGTCAAAATTTGAGCTCAATCAGTGCAGAACTTTTAAGAGTTCACAAATCACTTTGAGGAGTTCAAATCAAAAACTAACTTATCATTTTTACATTTCTTATAATGATGTGATAATGATAAAATTAGACTATTACATACTAAATAATATAATATTTTATATACAATGATGGCTTTTTTTTTCTATAAGTCGCTTTTCTTTCTATCCCCTGCATTCGCCCTGTCCGACAAGATCCATGATTGTCACCATGTCTAGTGTCTAATAAAATGTAAAACATTGCGGGGCGTAGTAAAGATTGAATTGAATTGATAATTTTCTAACCGTATTCAAATGCGTGTTTGGGATTTAGTTTTTTTTAAGAATGAAAAATAGAGAAAATCTTAAGTCTTCTATAAAACGACTCCACATTGAATAGATTATGTTCACTGGCCCATGTGACTTAAAAAAAACATTAATATGCAAGCCAACCATACCATTCCAAACTTTAAGCGTGTGAAGTGCCTTCAAACCCTAAAAAAAGTGGCCTGGAAACAATTTTAAACCAAATTCTCAGAATCGGCATCACATAGAATGCTGTCTAGCGAGTATATTTAATTATTAAATATTAAATAAACATTAGTATAATAGCGAGTGAAGGCATGCATTTGTGCAAATGTGGTTATTGATAGCAAAGTGCAGATAAGCTAAGAACGGTATATTTATAAATGGAGACAGGACCGCTAATAACATACATTTGTATTCCTAGCGTCTGCCTGTCGAGTCTAGTCTAATAATGTCTCAGGAGCCGCTGGAGTTATTACCTTTTGAAAAGTGGAGTGAATTACAAAGTTTGTTCAAAGCAGATTGGCCCCGAGGTGTCTCTGGTTACACGGTTTTAGAAACTCAGAGAGTATTAATCGAAAAAGGTTTTGATTACGGCTTTAAAGTTTATTGCCCTTTCGGTGACGTAAGGAACGGAATGGTCGCCGTTAATGTAAAGGTATGTGAATTTATCCTTCTTTTGTGTACGAAAATATATGTTGTTGTAAATAAGACATTAGCCTTATTAGCCGCAAATAAAACACACTGATAAAAAATTTGGTGATATTGAAAATTAAAGTCATTTAACTTTTCAAGTGAAAGTATCTGTGCGTGAGATAATATATACGAGTAGCTATACATAAATATAATATAATAAAAAAATATATTTGATGAACCTGTTGGTCTAGTGGTTAGTGACCCCGACTGTTAAGCCGGAGGTCGAGGGATCGATTTCCAGACAGAATATAAATATTTGTTCTGTGTCTGAGTATATTTTAGTTATAATGTTGGATTTGGAATCAGAAAGCGTGTATAAGATGTGTGAGGTTATTAGTTATATTATTAATAAAATATAATTTCAATAATAACGATTTATTTTAAATAGAGATAAAGATAATTAAAATAAGAGGTATACTTTGTGAACTTGAAGACTCATTTAGGCTTTGAAGTATCTTGTATAGCATATTAATAATAAAGAAGTGGTTTCTACCTAGTAACTACCTACATATTACTAATAAGTGTATAAATACACACTTTACCTTCCTTGTGTGCACATTTTCTTAAATAAGACTTACTAAACATAATAAATTACTAATAATATAGAGATGTAGAAATTTTTTATTTGGTTGATCGGGCTAATATCAGGAACTATTGCTTCGAATTAAAAAAATATTTTAGTGTTAGATAACATATTTATTGAGGAAGACTAAAGACTATATAACTTTACGCTATGACTAATAGGAGCCGAGCATCAATAAAAATGTGGTAAGAACCTGGATGACGCAAACAAAATTGCGCTGGTCAGCGAGTAAAGTATATTTTTTAAATAGCAAATTAATCTATTTGGTTTTCATCAAGTGAAAATGCATAATAGCAATAATCACTACATGTTGTGAAATTGAAGATTGCTATGTTTTTAAATTAAACCACATACTTTTATTAGTAATAGGTATATAGCTCTATTATAATGACAGCTCTAACGAGCATACCAAGATTAGAAGTACTTTTATTATAACTAATATGTTATCGTTGTCAAGGCAGATTTCACAATAATAGCTTTAGACTGAGAATGTGCCCTGGGGTTTATGTAATCGAAAATTCTCCACAGATGTTCAAATGTTTATCGTAACTGAAGAATAAGAGATGAAGATTGAGCGTAAATAATTATAACGACATATGAGTTTCATTTTTCAACAAAATAGTCATATCAAAACTATCTGTTTTTTATTGCTTAGATCGTGTTATTTGCTTCAACATCACTGTACTACCGACACACTATTTAATCCTCTTCCCAACAGTACTAACCAACATCTTAACAGAGTAAAATAAAACAATTACAGATAAGTCAAATACATGTAATAAATGATCTTATCTGCAGGCTAGCCACAAGCAGGAAATGACTGACTTGAGTACTTGACTTTGGTAAAACATCAGCTTGTTTTATGTATTATAATTGAATGACTAATTTAATTCTTATCGGCTTCTTCATAAACATTTATTTAAACTTCAGTACAGGAAAACTTTGTACTTGTTATTTTGGGAGGGCTCAAAACAACTCATTTAACTTCATAATCAAATACCCATTTTCTTCTACTGTTTTTATAGGAAACACTATACGAGATAATAATACAATGCCCTCAAGATGATACTGAAAAACTCGAAGACGCTTTAAGGAGAACCAAAATAGTAAACTGGCAGAAATATGTAATTTGTCCATTTGCTCCTTATCACGTAATACATTGTATTCAGGAGGCGTTAGGAGAGTCTGTTAAATTAGAAACTCTGCCAGCAGACACTTTTATTTATGATACACCAATAACATTAACAGGGACCGAGTAAGTATCTAAGAATTTATTTTTACAAAAGTATCTTTTTAAAATAGGTATTTATTCAACGTTACCTTATATTTTTAAATTGATACTAATATTTATACTAAATTAAAACTCAAATAAACTAGACTTTATAATAGCTTTAGCCTATGGACTAGCTGATAAAGGTGCCTTTTTAAAAGTAATGTTCGCAGACGCACACATTACTATGAGCGGACTTTAAACTGCAATACTTTCGCCAAGACAGTAGCAGGACAGCTTCTAACAGGAAAATAATAGCTACCTCCAATTCTCTATAAAGCAGCTCTTTTTAGAAGAGACCTTTAGTGTTTAATTTATATATTTTATTAAACCCTCGACAACGTCTAGTGTCTAGGTCTAGGGTCTTTCGACCAATAAAAAAATTGTAGGGTACCTAAATTAAATATTATTAATACATTTTTTATTTAACGGTTTTGTTTATGAATTTCAGACTTCCCGAGGGAATTTCCTTTGGCTTTCTAACCGCAGAACACCTGGACTTAGTTGACTCAACGTGGCCATATTCTTACAAATCCTCGCGTTGGTACTTCCAGTTGCTAATTAATTTAAAATCTGGTTATGGTTTGTTCGAAGGCGACAAACTTATCGCCTGGGTTTTAATCAATGAATCGGGTGTTTTACTGCACTTGTACACTGTAGAAAGTCATCGGAAGAAAGGTTATGCAGAACTTATATTGAAGTTGGTCAGTAATATATTAATTAAAGAGGAGAAACCTGTGATAGCACACTGTGTTAAAGGGAATGTGAATGCCTATAAATTATATGAAAAACTTGGATTTTTTAACTCGCATTTAATTGCATGGTGCTATATCAATAAAAACCTACGAGAATATGCTATTGTTATTATTTATAACACATATAAAATTAAGTATTATATTTATTATAGTTATCTATCTATCCACTATCAAGAACACGCATAAACTTTCCTAAATAACTTTTTACCATTACAGTTTTGAAATTGCCGTTTCTCTGCCTGTCCATCCATCTGTGGTTTAACTTAAGATTGTGGGTCAGTACCAATCTCTAAGTTAAACCACGGAGCTTTCTAGTGAAAGCTCTAATTTTGTATATATATTTATATAAATTCCGTAGACAAAGTAGCAAAATAAAATCTTCAGAATAAATTTTTACGGTCACCCCACTGGGGTTTGTAGCAGGTTGGTATGTCGGAATTGAACCGACCAAAACCAAATGGAGTGCCACTCTGTGCATGAAAGAGAAGGCATTCCGGAACACACAAGTGTACCCGGATGTCTTAATAACAGTATTAAGTCATCCGGAATTAATGGTCCGGATGTCTTAATACTATTATTAAGACATCCGGACCATCAATTCAATTCCCTAGTTCAGAGATGTCCAAACCGAAAGGAGATGCTGGATGGTTTCGATCGTGGTTCGGCCGCCCTTATCGCCCTTAACGCGCGGGGCGACAAAAGCTCCCCACATCGGGCCCTCATATCGGAAACTCCAGTCCAGCTTACGGCAGAAAGTGGAAGAGGACCTTTTCACACATGTTAGATTCCCTTAGGGAGGTGTTCGGCCGAGTGCTGCAAGAGCGCCGGCCCATGTCGTGATGGGTGTGTACTTTGAACACTCCTGTGAATTTGGGTACGACGGGCCCTTGACTTTACGACGGAAAAAATATTTATTAAGTTTACTGCAAGGCAATTTTTTAAGTTTTAGGTAAATATGTTTCTGCCATTATTCTTTATGTATGTGTATGTTAATATAGTGTGTATGTATTGTGTATACAGAAGGACTTCTATGTAAGTATAGTAATATATGTAATGTGTATGTATTTTCTTTCTTTCTTTCTTTTAATTAGCGAGTCAGTCAGTCAGTAATTAGGGCGTTATTACCTTTTAAAAAGTGGGGTGAAATACAGAGTAAGCTCAAAGCAGATTGTCTGGTTCTACGGTTCTGGAAACTCAGAGAGTATTAATCGAAAAAGGTTGTGTAAATTCTATTGTTCCTTCGGTGACATAAAGAATGGAATGGTTGCCGTTAATATAAAGGTGCAACCGAATTTATCCTTATGTTGTATAAGAAAATATGTATTTTTGTAATTTTTATCTTTCATAACAATAATATTTTAAAGATTAAAACTTGGTGAAGTAAGAAATTTAACTAATATAATTTCTCAAGTAACAATATTTAATATTAGGTCTATACCTATGAAGGGAGATTTGCATGAAAAATTTGAAATATTTTTTTAGGTAATGAAAGTACTGGCCCAAATTATCTATATAATTTTGTAATTTTGATGACAGTTTGTTTATCCCTCTGCTGTAGAAGTCTAGTGGATGGGAGGCAATGAAGTCAGCGAAAGCGTTTTGTACTGCCTCTCGGGTGTTGGATTTTTTTTCACTTAAAAAAATTATAGTTTTGCGATGGTCTGACGTGAAGTGTGAAGTCGCACGTTGTCGTGGAGAAACAATGGGGAAGAGCGATTGACCAGTCGCGGTTGTTGAATTGCGAGCTTCTCCATCATTGTTTGCAATTCCTGGCAATAGACATCTGTCATCATTATTGTGCCATTCGGTTGCTGTGATCTACAAGTCGGGTCTTTGTTAACTGGTCCACCAAACAGTCATCGTCATGTTTCTATGGGTGATCTTTTTTTTGGCGCCCTGAGACGAATGCCTGTTACTTTCTGAAAATGAAGAGTTATTTTGTGTTTTAAAGTAACTTGAATAGGATATTAATAATAAAGAAGTGGTTGCTACCTAGTAACAACCTACGTATTAATGTATATCAATAGGTATACATACATACTTTAACTTTCTTGTGTGCCCATTTTCTTAATGGAAACTAACTCAAAACAATCTATATATATATATACTAAGAGGGGCAGAGAATTAATTCAATAAAAAAAAAAACTGGATTTATTTATTTTGCGAGACGCTGACGAAGTTCCGCGTTTTCAACAAAATACTTATAAAAAACATGATATTTTTTATTGCTTTTTTGTTTTAAAATGCATGTTCTTATTGTTATTATATGTGAACATCTTAACAGAGTAAAATAAAATAATTACAGATAAGTCAAATACATGTAATAAAAAGATAAAGGAATCTTATCTACGTGCTAGCCACAAGAAGGAAGTGACTGACTTGAGTACTTGACTTTTGTTAATCATCAGCTTGCTTTATGTAATATAATTGAAAGACTATAATTACCATTCTTATTGTCTTCTTCATACACATTTATTCAAATTGGAGTAAAATTTAAACGGTGTCCAAAATACCTGAATTAAAATTCAGGACAGGACAACTTTGTACTTGTTATATTTGGGGGGCTCAAAATAACTCATCTAACTTCAAAATCGAACGTGCCTTATCTTATATTGTTTTTACAGGAAATCCTTTCTGAGATATTAAAACATTACCCTCAAGATGATACTGAAAAACTCGAAGAAACTTTAAGAAGAACCAAAATAGTAAACTTGCAGAAATATATAATTTGTCCATTTGTTCCTTACCACGTAATACATTGTATTCAGAGAGAGGGCCTTAGAAGAGTCTGTCAAATTAGAAATGCTGCCAACAGATACATTCATATATTATGATACATCAACAACATTTACATAAGTATCTAAGTATTTATATTTTAAAGAGTATCTTTTAAAAATAGGTCTTCATTCTACATTACCTTATATTTTAAAAATGATAGCAATATGTATGTTAATTCATCACTCAAATAAACTAGACTTTATAACAGTTCTAGTCTATAGACTATCTATATAGGTCCCTTTTTTAAATAATGTTCGTGGACACACACAGCAATATGGACGGACTTTAAACTGCAATACTTTCGCATGTAACTATATGTTACTCATTTCGTCAGGTCTCATTCAGATTCTCAGAACAACTTCCAACAGAAAAATAATAGCTGACGCCAATTCGCCAAAAGCAGCTCTCTGAGACCTTAAGTATTTTAACTATTTTATTAAACCCCCGGTAACGCAGATCTAGGATCCTTGTATCAGTGAAAAAAAATTGTAGGGTATCTGAATTAAATATTATTAATACATTTTTAATTTATAATGGTTTTTTTATGAAGTTTAGACTCATCATCATCATCATCAACAGCCTTTAATGGTCCACTGCTGGACATAGGCCTCCCCTTAGAAAGGAGGTTTTGAATTTTAGACTGCCTGAGGGAATTTCATTTGGCTTTCTGACATCAGAACACCTGGACTTAGTTGACTCGACGTTTCCATATCGTTACGATTCCTGTTGGTCCTTCCAGTTGATTAATATGAAATCTGGTTATGGTTTGATCGAAGGCAATAAACTTATCATCTGGGTTTTAATCAATGAAGCGGGTGTTTTACTGCCCTTGTACACTGTAGAAAGTTATCGGAAGAAAGGTTATGCAGAACTTATATTGAAGTTGGTCAGTAATATATTAGTTAAAGTGAGGAAACCTGTGATAGCATACTGTGTTAAAGGTAATGTGAATGCCTATAAACTTTATGAAAAACTTGGATTTTTGAACTCGTATTTAAGTGCATGGGGCTATATCAATAAAAACCTACGACAATATACCTTTGCTATCATTTATAACACCTATAAAATTAGTTATATTCTACTATGGTTTAACTTGCAGATTATTAAATATATTCAGGGTACCCTTAGACACAAATTGGAGATAAATTTCATTATCCCCCATCTATCCTATGCTGTGAGATATCCTGTTATAAATTAATGTTCACATTAATCATATTATTTTCCATAAAATCAATTATAAATGCATTCTGCATAACATGGGCAGTGACCAATTCACATCGTACAACGCGACCAAACATCCATCCAGTTAAGTTGTCGCCTGCATTATTTCCAAATCTATACGACCTTCAAGAATAGAGCATATTTCCTCTTCAAAGGCCTGCAATGCACGTGTGACTCCGAGTTACTGGTCTCCATGTTTACCGCCGGTAGTGACTTTTCATGTGATGGCCAGAGGACAGATCGTTTGCCTAATATTTAATTAAAAAAGCTCAACAAACACAACACCTTACTCTTTATAGAGTGAGATGTTTTGTTGAGATCTTATGATCACAATAATTTTATAGATGATGATTATTATATTTTGAAATTATAGGAACCAATTGCGCCTACACACACACCCAGCGCCTACAAAAATTTTCTTATGAAGTACATATTGCTCTCATTTTTTTGCAAGGCTTACTTTGTGTAGTTAATATATTATATTCTCAATAGTTTGTTTTACATATTTGTAATAAAAAAACAATGTCAAATTGATATTAAAAACGAAAAGTAGAAAGTTCATTTCCATGTCAGAATTGGTGACGACGGTCGCTTTTTCCATTTAATATTTCAGTTTCAGGATAGTAACAAATTTATTAAAAAAGTAGCTGATTCGAGAGCATTTTCCCTATTTGGATTTCAATTCCTTGTTTGTGACAGAATTCAGCAGTTTCTCTAACCTATTTCTATTTTTCTTATTCTAAACGGTAGGTCGCAATATTGTAGGTAAGTGTAGGTTTCAGTGAAGTGATACGGGTACCATCAGTACCTATTTAATATTAGGTTACCTATGAAGTTGGAGATTTATTTGAAAATTTTAAATAAAAAATACTGGTTATTTTTATTTCAGTTAATCAAAGTACCGGCCCTAATTATCTATACAATGTCATTTTGATAACAGTTAACTCGTGGATTTCATATTCCAAAATTGTACGAATTTTCATTTAGTCCATACTGCCAAAAACTAGCACAATTTCACAAAAACAAAACACTAAAATGACTGAATTTTTAAATAAAATAACATGGCTTTCGCAAAAAAAAAATTGAATTTTAAATTGCGTGCCAATCCACAGATGATTAAATCTGAAAATGCTGGTTTTAAAAATGGTTTTAGAAATCTACATCATCATAGGAAAAGAGCCATTATTTAATAATATAAGAAAAATGAAAACATCCTAATAGTAATAAATTCTTATCTTAAACTTCATCATCATCATCATCATCAGCCTATCGCAGTAAACAAGTTCAACAGTTCTCGTAAACATACTTATTTAAGAACAATAACAACTCGTATTTATAAAATGAAGTATGAACAGGATTTCCGTCGCTCTTGTCATTTGTTTTATTAGAATAATAAATACTACTGTATGTATGATATTTATGTAACACTTTTTAGCATTCAGAATTGTACCTTCCTAATTTTATAGTGCACTAATGAACAGAAGTCTAAGGAAAACAACATTTAATTTACAATGAGTGAATAAAAACAAAACATAAATTAGTGACTAATACAGCAAGCAATAACAGTATCCATCGTGTGATGATGCGAGTTGCTTGTGTGGTGCGATCGTTTTGTGATATAATATAATGTTGCCTCAAGATCCAATGCAACATTTACCTTTGGAGAAATGGAATGAACTTCAGAACGCCTTTAAAGCAGACTGGCCCAGAGGTATCAATGGATACGCGGCATTAGAAATACAGCGACAGTGGGCGGAAAAAGGCATTGACTACGACTTAAAAGTTTATTGCCCTTTCGGTGACGTCTGGAATGGAATGGTAGCTGTTAATATAAAGGTAAGTTATGTATATTGTCTCTGGCTCATTCTGAATATTTTGTAATTATTGAGTGAACTAAGCTTCACAGACTTTTACTTTTTATTGTTGAATATTAATTGTACCTTAATAATGAGGCCTGCGGCTATTTTTTTGTGTGTATTTTATTTACAATTCAAAAATAATAGGCATTATGCCTAATATTAACACCATACCTGTCTAGCAGCATCAGGTATTCTATATTTTAAGAGTCAGCAGTATTATTATCTTCAAGTTTACTTTGAAAGAGGTAAAGTTAACAAAAGTCAGAAGAACCAGTTGAATGCTTATTTTTTTTTCAAATAATGTTAAATTTAGAGGAAGTTTAAATTTTAAGTTTTTTTTTTAATATTCAACAAATTCCAAATAGTATATTTTAAAATTTTAGATCATGTTGGTATAAGTATACAATTCTTAGCTCTAAAACGTCTTACAGGTAATTAAGGACATAAGGATTAATTCAGGACAACATAAATAAACTTTACATTTTATATTAATTTAAAGTGGGTCCGTAATACCTAATGTATAGGTATATTCCAAATTACTAACTATTAATCAGTCATATTATCATAAACCACGCAAATTTGCACTGAAAATTTTCTAAGATCGTCCAGTGCCCACTCATGATATGACAGAGATTAGTGTATTTCTATCAAGACATTATTGACTAAACAATTACTTTTTCTAGTGACTGTGACGGTGAACTAGGGAGTTAAGGGGGATAATAAATCAACAATAAACAGACTGCCCCCTTGGAGTTACGCTACAAGTCTGTTTTATGGACGAAAACACTTAACACAATAGGATGCCAAAATACTTCCCGATTGATGGCCTTAATGCCGAGATCTGTTAATGATCCATATATATTTTACATCTTTTGTTTAATTATAGCATCATAATATATTAGTTAGATCATGATAGCTGTCGTAACATCTTTACATGTTAGTGTTCTTAGCTTTCGTCAGGGTAACAGGGACTTCCTTTCTACGTTATAACCTTCCCCAGCTACTGGTACCCGAGACGGCTTGCGGGTTTCAGTCAGTTGGAGTCCGACTTAACCATCCCACCGATCGTCCGATGAGGGTTATCCGAGGAGATTGCGGCATTGAAAAAAGTGTTCTTATCTTAGATACGACACGTAACTTGTGCACATTATCGTAAGTAGATACCCACTTAATCTGTCTTGAAATAATTACAAATAAATTGTTACAGGATTCCTTTTACGAAATAATAATCCAATGTCCGAAGGATGACACAGAAAAGCTCGCAGAGGCGTTGAAAAAAACAGAAATTATTGACTGGAATAGACAAATTGTGGTACCGTATGCTCCTCGGAACGTGATTGAATGTCTTAGGAATACCGTTCGTGACTTGGACGTGGATCTTTCTGTACACAGGTTCTTGGAATGTTTTATACTCGAAGATGCTACATTTGAAGATGTGATGTAAGTAGCGAACAGATTTCAGTTAGAATAAAGCACAAATGTTTTTAATACTACTTGTTGGCTACGTCATTTTAACCAAAACAAATACTGTATAAGTAAATCAAATAACGAAAAAAGAACTATTATAGAAATATATGCCACTGATATTTAAATCGGGGGCTCACGGCTTTTTCGTGCAAAAAAAAATTATAACCAAAAAAAAACCTGCTCTGCGGGATGCTCTCAACTGAGCTTGATATTCATTTTAGTTTCTAAAGTTTTCATATAATAACACGTAAAATAAGACGTAAATAAAAACAAAGAAATTTATGTAGGTACAATATATTGTTACTACTTTTGGTGACTCACCAAAGTGAATTGTTAGTATAGTATATTTCTCTTAATCTAAAAATATTTGTCGTAGCGAAATAAATATTGCAATGCTGTCAATGTGATGTAAACTTAAACGATTAATACGAAAAGTGTGATATGTGAAGAAGTAGGTAAGCGTTAAGTGTATTCAGCCACCACATTTCGAATAGTACCTACTTTATTTTAAAGGTAAAAGTTACATGTAAGGTATATCTTAAGGCGACAACCGAATCAAACTTCCATCCTAAAAATTATTGCATTTAATAATATTATGTTTCCTCACTAGAGAATAATAGTTTATGAGCACTAAATAATTGAAGAATATAAGATGCCTATTTACGTATTATACTTTATTTTAATGTTTTTTTTTTATTTATTACAGTCTCCCCCAAGGCATTACCTTCGGCCCTGTAACATTGGAGCACCTTGACTTGGTAAATTCAACTTGGCCAAATCGTTACGCAACTTCTTCATGGCATTTTCGACTACTCATCAACACTAATTCGGGATTTGGTCTTTACCTTAATAATGCTTTAATATCTTGGGTTTTTATTAAAGAAACTGGCCCATTACAACATCTGTACACTGTAGAAGAACATAGAAAAAAAGGATATGGTGAACTGTTGTTAAAATTGGCAAGTAAGATCTGGTTGAAGGAAGGGAAACCAGTGTTTGCGTTTTGTTTTAAAGATAATGTCAGCGCTTGTAAGGTGTACAGAAAGGTCGGTTTTCTTCCGGGAGAACAGATTGCTTGGTGCTACCTGAATAAAAAAGGTAAATAAAAATTGTTATGGAACCGGTTGGAATATTTACGTTTGCTTGTAAGATAAGTGAATTTTCTAACACTGATTAAAACACCTATTACAAGGGGCAATCAACTGGTTAGCGAATCCTCTCTTTGTATTAAACGGATATCACAACGTCTTTCAGCAAAGTTATATGTACGAAACTGATGATTGTAAGCCACCTTTAGACCCTGGATTGCTTATTAATATGACGTCATGTTCATCTACTCAGTATACTGACAGTAGTACAGTGCATTGTACAGTATCAATTTATTTGTTTTTAATTGTGTTCATCTATAAGAGCCAGTTGGTAAATATTTTAGTTCACGTTAACAAAATCTCGTTCACTTTTTTGATGAAGCACAATAGATACTCTGGTACTTGTTGGATATAAAAAAATTATATAATTATAAGCAATTAATAAAACTTATAATACGAATTGCAAATAGTATAATTGAAGTACAAAGAAGTAAGTAACTAAGATAAAATCAATATTAGTTAGTCATGAACATAATCACCGTCCCATTTATTAAAATAATGTAATGATCCTACATTACATTTATTAGAGTATTGCAGTAGGCAATTATGTTAGAGACCGTGGTAATTAAATTTTCGAGACATTATAAACACGTTTTTGGGTTATCTATGAGCATCGTTATGATCAGTAGCATAACTGTACTCTGTGATCATTACTTATTTACATTTTTGTTTTGTTTTTGTTGTATATGGCGATATGCCTTTTCGTACCCCTCCGGGGACATAATGAGTGTGGGTATGTATGTGTGTACATGCTATTGACTGTGTAAGTGTAGTATCGTGTTTCAATACTACACTCACACTGATATTCTTATATCAAGGTTATACTGTCTGATTATCTGACTTTAAACAGACACAATAAAGATCAGGTCTTTTATCAATATGGGATATTATTATAAATGGTATCGCATTCAATATACTTATTTTATTGTCAAACCACCGACTCATAGATAGAGTGTCGATAACATGAACGCAACGCTTTATAGTATTTTTTTTAATCTTTACGAAGACATCCACATTAAAATAAATCTCATCTATGAACTATTTTATTGCTCGAGTTTTTTTTATTCACTTTAATTAAAGAACGGTACAGATAAACGCAGTGTTTATTCCCTGCGTCGGCTGCGTCCTCATCCGTGAACGCGCCACGTCAGCGACAGGTGTAATAATAATATTTGATAATGTCAAAAGAACAAGATTCCTTGCAACGTCTACCTATTGAGAAGTGGAGTGAACTTCAGGCGGCCTTCAAGGCAGACTGGCCTCGAGGTATTTCTGGATTTGCGGCTCTTGAGGTGCAAAAACGATGGGCAGAACAAGGCTTCGATTATGACTTCAGAGTTTATTGCCCTTTTGGTGATGTTTTGAATGGAATGGTGGCTGTTAACGAGAAGGTGATTATCTATATTCAGTATATTTTACTAATTATAGTTAATTTTGAATTATTGTTACAACCAATGATATACTTTTGAGGTTAGTAACTAACTAGTAGTTTTCTGATCTGTCAGCCGCATAAATTGAATAACACATTGAAAAATTAAGTAGCAAAAGTTTAATACTGAGAATATTAAAGTTCTGGTTGGTTATCCCAACGTTAAAAATATTAGTTATCATTATTCTATGAAGCTAAGAGATACAGGTAGACATCTATTGGTAAGAATAGTAATCAATTATGGTTAGTGTTCTCTTCTGTATACACAGATGGCGTTAGTGAGCATGTTAATATAGGTCGTTGTGAGAATGTATTTAATTGTACTTAAATTACTATTATTGTCGCATTCATTTATATTTTGAAAAAATATGGAAATATATAGGGGACAAACGAGGAGATAGGTCACCTGATAGTAATTGATAACCATGGCCTGCGGATACCTCCAACTCAAGAGGCACTTGTGAATAACTGACCTTTTGTTTATTTTGGTAGCCCTCCCCTCCCTCTCCCATATTTAACACCAGTTGGCTTATGAGGGCGTGGTATCACCACTGTCGACCCGACTCATATTTATGTGCCGACCCTAGCCCTCTTACAGCGGGATAAGGAACTTAGGACCAAAAAAATATGTATAATAATATACCTATATAATATTATTGGATTATAACATATAGTATTAAACATATTTTTATGATACCATTGAAAAATAAATGCGAAAAACTATAATCGTAAAATTACAATGTGAGTCTTTCGTATCGAGGTCATTCGATTGTTGCCATAGTAACCACAGCGAGTATCTACATTTTACTCTGATTACAGACTTGTATTATATACATACCTATTATAAAACTGGATCATGTCAGCTTAAAGCCTTGTATTTACTTTGTAACAGCACTACTTTGCAGAAGTCACAATGCATTTTTTAAATTATATTCCTGTGCAACGCCTTTGTGGTACAATTATCAACCAACACTCAATAAAGTATATTCAACCGAGCGCCGGGCACGCCGTCATCGCGGCGGTAAGACCCGTTATGGAGGATTGGCTCGAGAGGCGTCTCGGGACCCTCTCATACCGACTGACGCAGGTGATCACTGGGAAAGGATGTTTCGGGGATCACCTGTGTCTGATCCGCAAGGAGCCAACGCCTGAGTGCCACCACTGCGATGGCCAGACCGTGGACACGGCTCTCCACACGCTGGCAGAATGCCCGGCGTGGGTTGAGCAGAGGCGAGACCTCGTGGCGGCCATCGGATTGGGAGTTCTCTCGCTCGATAGCCTGATTGCGGCTATCGTGCGGAACGAGAGTGCGTGGAACTCTGCCGTCTCCTTCTGCGAGAAAGTTATGCTCGCGAAGGAGACGGCGGAGCGGGACCGGGAGAGGTTTAGAACTCTCCCGGCCCGCCAGGCCCGGGAACGGGCCTTGTACCGCAGGCGACTCAGGCGCCGGAGGTCGCAGAACGACCTCCGTCCTCCATAAGCGCAGGCCTGGGGGTGACAGGTAAGGCCATCTGTCACCCTAGCAAAGCGAAGCGCGCTCGCTTCCAGGGAGCAGAGGGAACATGGGGTTCCCACACGGGGGGCGTTGTCTACTTGCTGTAGATGGCCCGAGGTATGTCGGAGCACCAGGGACTTCCTTTCTAGGGTATACCTGGTTCCCCGGCTATAAGTACCCGAGACGGCGTGCGGTTTTAGTCGGTTCGAGTCCGACATGCCACCGATAGGTGGTATCCGAGAGGATTTCAGCACGGAAAAAAAAAAGGTTCACGATTTCTCTATGATGTTTTTAAAAAGAGTACCAAGCTCGCTTCTACACTTAGAAGATATGATTAACGTTAAAGTTAAGATTTAAGAAAAGTGTATGTTATGTTATGCATGATAAGGGAATTTCTTTCCATTGATTTCCGTTCTATTTTTGTAGTTTTTAGTTATGTTTTCAATGTAATAAAATTACATGCAAGATAATTTTAAAAAGCCCTATTTATATTGTCTCTCGTCTGTTGACTAACATTGTTATAACAAATAAATCAGTTGATATGGCAACTCAACATGATCTTTATAATTATTTAATATTGCAGGGTACTTTTTATGAAATAATAATACAATGTCCAAACGACGACACAACAAAACTAGAAGAAGCTCTGAAAACGACAAAAGTAATTGATTGGGAAAGAGAAGTTATAGTACCATATGCTCCTCAGAACGTAGTCAACTGTCTTCGCAATATAGCCCAAGAGATTGGAGTAGAGGAAGCGGAACACGATCCGTTAGAAACATTTATACTTGAAGAAGCGACATTTGAAGATGTAAGGTAAGGTATCAATAAAAACACACTTTTGTAAGCACAGAAGCTGGTGCATGAATTTCGTAGTCGAAAGGTAGTACCTTAAGATACCTAACACATCTGTGTTTCACACATTTACCGCACCCTAAGTTCAATAAGATGTTTACTTTCATAACTTAAAAAAAAATCATTTGAATCTCGTCATGATTCAACAAGAGTAGATACAGTGGTGACGTCATCGCCACTACTGTTTTTTAACTCTAGCCGTCTCCAGATCGTAAACTCATAAATTAATGAAAAAATAAGTTAGGCTAGATTATTCATAGAACAATAATAATATCTTGAAATTAGATTAGTGTTAGACAGTAACTAACAATTAATGTTGGATTTTGCATTCATAAAGTGGAGTAGTGAAATAAACCCAGCAACGATATGAGCAGTGTATGTCTATAATAGTCTGCTTGTTAAAATAAACTAGACTACTAGATTACTAACAAGGATACACAATAACGATCTATACGAACCATGTTTATTTAATCTTAAAACAAATGATTCAATATATGTACTAGGATAAGATATCATTAAATAAATACCGTCCTTGTCTTCGTTTCGCGTTCTCTCAATGTCATTATTCACTTGTGCACATAACAATGCACGAAGCGGCTTGTAAATAATTATATTAGGATTATATTATACAAAATATTGTTTGCCCCATTTTATCTTGATGATTGTATAATTTTCTCTCTTTTGTAAAGAACACATAAAGTAATGTTTAGAGTAGGAGCAGTCTAGTTGTTTGAAAGATACATAAACTCAAACTCAAATTTCTTTAGATCATAATTTATTTAAATTATTTTAAATTGTCTCTTGAGTAGACTCTAAAGTCATAGAGCAACACACACAATAGCAACAATCTCTGTATTGTCAAATATTTAGCAAACTAAATATATATACGTATAGAAAATCTCTTATATGCCTGTGCTGATCTACAAACTTTTGTTAAACGATTCTGCTAACACGATCTTAAACGTGCTGTTTTTTTTTTAATTTACAAGGAACCGTCTAGGTTTAAGTAACGAATCGTGTATAAATTAAAAAGAGAGAGAAACAAAGAATAAAGTATTATAGAATACCAATTAATTTAGGTTTAATTTGTCATTTTAAAATAATCTAATATAAATTAGATTATTTTAAAATGACAAATCATGATCGTTAATAAGAAAATAAGACTGCAATAATACCTAATAAAAATTCCTTGAGTAACCAATTTCATGTACAATTTTTGTGCACTTGTGAGAAACCTTATTTACATAATTAAATGTAAATTATACGTTGGGGAGAAATGTTATAGCTGTGTTATTCATTTATAGACAATAAATTACCAATTTTTGAAGAAAATAATGATTATTTTGTTCTACTTTTTACATATTACGTAATTTTATGTTCATTTACATCATAGTTTAATGAAGTCAGTTCTTTGTTTACTTAAGCTTAACACTGTACAAATGAACAGTTCAAATAACCCTAATAATGTAACATAACATTGCTATGATGAAGTTTAAAAGTAGGTACTCTAAGATATTACATCATTTAAAGCGCTTTTTTCTAGAAAAAATAAACAGTAAGTTTCTTTTTAAATTTGGATTTTGGACAACCCCTCTGTTTAGTCATGGGAGAGCCAAGCCTCTTCACAGAATTCTTACGTTGCTTTTTAGTGAGTGAGTGAGGCCAGCGGAGACCCAACCATCTCCTCCCTCCCAGCTCCGGAAGGTACTCAAAAGGCGTCAACGCACTTGTGACTCTTAAGATGTGGATGTGGTAGGCACTTAGCATCAGCTGACCCGTCTGCCCGCTTGCCCCTATAATATAAACAAAAAAAAAAACCTAACCGAGTCCAGCCGCTGGCAACAAAAACTTGGTTAAAGAACACTAACAGCATTGTTTAATTTTCTACTGATGGTTTATGATCATCATCAGTCTATCGCAGTCCACTGCTGGACATAGGCCTCTCCCATTGCATGCCACCTAGATCGATTTTGGTTTAAGATCCCTATGACTCAAAATAAAACCCCATTTTATTTACTTACAGCTAAAAAATCTAAACTGGTATCAAGTCTCAGTACTATTGTTATAAAAAGTTAATATTTATCAAAATAGAACTAACCTTCAGTTTTATTTACAGCTTACCGCCAAATATAACCTTTGGCCCTATTACATTGGAGCATCTCGTCTTAGTGGACTCAACGTGGCCTCATCGCTATGCAAATTCATCATGGTACTTCAAACTACTAATTGACACCAATTCTGGATACGGTTTGTTTCACAAAAATGAGCTTATTACTTGGGTATTCATCAAAGAAACTGGTGCATTACAACATCTTTTTACGGTAGAAGAACATAGAAAGAAGGGCTATGCTGAAATATTGTTAAAGCTGGCAAGTAAGATCTGGTTGAAACAGGGAAAACCGGTATTTGCATTTTGTTATAAACATAATGTTAATGCTTGTAAAGTTTATAGAAAACTTGGTTTTGTGCAAACCGAACCAATTGCTTGGTGTCACCTAAATAAAAAATAAATAATCAACTACTTTGTTTTATTTCGAAATTCAATGCATTTAGAAATTAACTTTTTAATGATTGCTAGTTTTATGTATTTTTGGTGCATGGTATTTCTTAATGAGGTTTTTTAAAAACTTGTCATTTAATTGTCTGTCCTGTTGTTAAAACCAGTCGTATAATTTTTAAACAGAGAATACGAACCACTGCAAATATTTTGCTGCAAAGAAAATAATTAAATGTGGTGACGGATTAAGAATACGGAGTGTCACCCACTATTCATCCCGTGGGTGTCGTAAGAGCCGACTGAGGGAGTAAACTACGCAGGACAACAACACTGCCAAGAGAAGGAAAACTTGACACAAACCCTTTTTTTTTTAACGTGTGGACACCCCCTCGGGCCGTCACCCCACCGGGGTTTACGGCGGGGTGGTGTGTCGGAAACGGACCGACTAAAACCACACGGTGTGCCACTCTACGCCTGTAATAAGAGGGATCCGGGAACTGCTGTTATTAGGACCTCCGGACCCCTCCTAGCGCCTGCCCGCAACGATACGGGCGCCTTCAGGTACATTCTCTATTTAGGCGACGTCCGGCACACGCGGACGTCACCTCCTCGCGGCTGTCCGTTATGGCAGGTGGAGGGGAAAACCCGTCCCGTCCACCCGCGGCCACACTCAGGTTGACACAAACCCTTTTTTTTTTTTTTTTTTAACGTGTGGAAATCCCCTCGGACCGTCACCCCTCCGGGGTTTGCGGCAGGGTGGTGTGTCGGACTCGGACCGACTAAAACCACACGGTGTGCCACTCTGCGCCTGTAACAGGAGGGATCCGGGAACAGCTGTTGTTAAGACATCCGGACCCCTCCTAGCGCCAGCCCGCTCCTGGTGCGGGCTCCGTCTCAATGTTTTCCTCTCTTTATAGGCGACGTCCGGCACACGCGGACGCCGCCCCCTCGCGGCTGGCCAAACTAATGCGGGTGGAGGGGAGGTGGACACAAACCCTATACCAACCCGTCTGGCCAGCGTGGTATAGTAGGCCAAAGCCTCCTTTATAAGAAGAGGCCTATGTCCAGCAGTGGACTATTAAAGGCTGTTGATAATGATGATGATGAAATAATTTTTAGAGGGGCCACCCGCTCACGAAAATGTGGAGAGTAGGGCCAAAATGTTCTGTTAAACCTAATTTTAGTTTAAAAAAAAAGCAGATTTAAGATATTAAACTACATTCATTACTCTATTAGAATAGAAGAATATTTTTCTTCTATTCTAATAGATTCGCACTAATGATATTAACACGTTTCTTTGTTTAAGTTAACTAAAAACTAAACGTAAGCCTAACATTACACGATAAATGTAAACGCATTACTCCAACCCATTTCTCTAAATCGAGGCCACGTAATCGCAGTCCGTCACTTTTATGATACAATCAGCAAAGACGCTCAGCAACAACTCCAGGCAATAAAACACACAGCCTTGTTGCCCAGCCATTCGTTGTTGCTTGGTGCCACTAGGAAGACAACAAAGTCACGAGCTTTCATGTGCAAATCGCACATAAAAGTAAATACAACGCTTTATCGGGAACAACAGAAGAAATAAATCTTTACTGTTTCATGCTTTAACTTTGGCGTGTACTGGAGTGGAAAATATTCTATTTGACTGCGATGCTCCAGATGGAGGTTATTTGGAAACATTTACTCGTTATTAGAGTTACTTTCTATACTGGTATATCTTCAATAGAGGAACATCAGTTGTGACTACTACTTATAATCTCGTTTCAATTAAAACATTTTGGATCTGATGTACATCAGATTTGTTTCTGAATTCTAAACATAAAGGATACTCTGGGTACAAGACAAGAATTTTGATACAGTACTTGATATTTTAGAAAAAAAAAAACATTTTATTACAGAGCTACATACCCTAACCAAACATTATAGCTTTTCTTTCCTATGTATATTTTTATCTTTTTAATAGATATAATTATATATTATGATTTGTAAATGTAAAGAATTTAACATTCGCCATAGTATAATAATAACCACGTGGAAAAAAAAACATTTTATAGAATAAAGAGTAAGGTTTGCTATCTTTTATTAATTTCTAAATTCAAACTTCGCTAGATAGAGTAAAAGTTTCGGTAAACCTTGCATATTTTAAATGTTTTCCTAATCTGTCGGCGGTTGCCGAGTAGAATAGGGTATAATAAATCCTTCAACATTGTATTGAAACGAATATATTCAGTTCTAAATGTTATCTGTTTTCTCACAGTATGATTAATGTAGTCGACTATGTACGTATGACGTTTTAGTATAAATTAGTTCGCACGCGACTGTTTTCCTATAAAAAGTGAAGAAATTAATTACTTAGCCTACAGTGGCACTGTGAGCTGACAGCTGAAATGACGGTTACAAGAAATCATTTTATTTCTTTTACGCTTTTCAAATTTTGTTATTGAATTTCAACTTTTTACGGCTCTATAAGGTTCTGCCCTATCTCCCCAAGTCCCAAGCTCCCCAAAATGATTTTCATACATTAATTCCCAACCTCCTCAAAAGGGTCTCTCGAAATAGGGATTTGAAGTTCTACAAACATCCTATCCGTGTACTTTGGTCAATAAATTTAAATTTTAAATGCCTTAGTTTTCCATCTTTAGAAGTCGAATATTTTCGTCTAGTTTAAATAGGACGAACCTTAATACAACCAATGTAATTTAAAAAGAATGTAATCAGTTTACAAACTGCATAAGCTGCACAAGAATGAATATTTAATCAAATTACAATCCGTTTTCCTTTTGATGTCAGATTAAAGCAATAAATCATCATCATCAACAGAATTAACTCTTCTCTCTCTAGAGCAGAGCATTAGAAATAGAATAGAATAGAATAGATAGCAATAGAATTCCACTAGACAAGAACACTAACTGCTTGAACACACACTACGTCTACGAATCATGTTAATCAGCTCTTATATTTGAGACTAGACGAACTTCACTCATGACTTCTAAGCTGGTATAATCTTAAAACTGAGTTAGGTAGGTACATTGAAAAAAGTAACTAGGTTTTCGTTGAAAAGTGCCGAGTTGTCGCCGAGCTCTTTCATGCAAATGATTATTCCGAAATTGTTCCAGATTTTGTGAAAAATATGCAAAAAACACAAATGCAAACGATCTCCATAGAAAAATAATACATGCTTAAATCTGCAATATGTTTTGTATATAAACTACGAAGTGGAAACTTTTAATCAACGCGTTTTGTGCCAATGTGACGCCACAGAATTGCTCGTAAATTATTTTGCCTTATACTTGAATTTTCTTTAATGGTAAGATGTGGTAATATTTTATACTTGAAGTTAATTATTTTAATGTAACATTGGTTTTTATTGTAAAATTAATGTATGTTTGTAAAGTCCCGACACTAGATATATTCCTAGTGGTCTTTGAAAAAAAAATATTCAAGAAATATAAATACTAAGAACTTAACTTAACTAAATAATAAGAATAATAAATACATTCTGACGCAGTTGCTTTCCGGGTACGCTACTTTGGTAATAGCTAGTATTCGGACAACAGGAGAATACTGAGACACTCGAACGCCTGCTCTAATACGACTACAGTGAGGATTGACCACAGCAGTGAGCATTATAAGATATAAAAATGTGACCATCAGCAAAGGTGAAACTTTGAAAATGCGACTGTGCTAATAACATTAAAAATATCAATTTAGGTTACTAAAACGAACTCTTCCACAACAAAAGTAGTACCCAAAAATAAATACAGTTACAGTATCTACTCCATAGCAATAAACTCATTAAATTCCTCGAGAGTTAACAAATCGTGTTTCAGGATTCCAGTTCAAATCATGCTTATATTAAGCTTTACTTTAGGTAAGTAGATGGAAGTCGAGACATATTTTTACTCACGCAATATATGAATATTACTCATAATTCTCAGTAAGAGTCTCATTTACAATTTCATTAAATAACTTAAAGTGACGGGGTAAGCCGAGAAAGCTTACGTATGCGTTTCATATACTCGTATATTCCATTCAGATTGCCTAATAATTTACGTTAAACAATATTTTTGTATTTCGATCACGTCAAAACAGTGAGATCCATGCGTGAGAAAATATTTGTAAAGAATCAACGGCCAACAAAATATTTATAAAATGTTATTGAATCAGGAAGAAAGTTTTGCTGGAAAGAATAGATCGAGCACTCACTCACTCTATACCGATTCGGGGGCATACCCTTGCAATAGACCCGGTCTGTCCGCTTCACCTTTTATGGTGATGAGCTGTAGGGGTTTACACTTAAAAATAATAGAAATAGATTTTTCCAGCCTTTTTCAATTTGATGATGATGATAATTTAATAGACTAGCTACCAAGACCCACCTTTAAACCCAATGTAAAATATCAATTCATGTATCGGTTCTAAATAATGCTTGGTGATAATAAAACATCATGTATTATTATATATGTCGCAAATATCACTTTATTGATCAATAGCGAATATCTAGAGTGCAATACGATTACCAAATGCTCGTTCTAACCGTAAAGTAGAGCACAATGTTGTACAAATAACTTGATCCTGCTATAAAACACTACATTGCAAGTTGTCATACTGTACATAATAAATTGACACATCATAGAATTGCACGGTTTTTAATATCTTTTAACAATTATATTATGTGATAATCGTTATCAATCAAAACCTTGGGGAAATAATAGCATGATGTAATTGTATATAGTATCATCACCATCATTATCAGCTTATCGCTGTCCACTACTGGACATAGGTCTCTCCCATTGCACGCCACTTAGATTGATTTTCAGCTTCTCGCATCCAGCTCCTGCCAACCAACCTGCACAGATCGTCACTCCACCTGGCCCGTGGGACGTCCTACACTACGTTTGCCTAGACGCGTTCTCCACTCAAAAACTCATTTCTTCCAATAGTTGTCGGTTCTGTGGCTAAATGGCCATTGCCACTTCACCTTGTACCGGTGGGCTATGTTTATTTAATACGCTGGCTCATTTTCAACAGCACCTACTAAGAATGTATTGTTGCATTTGACAATTCTAAATATCACACACACAAAGAGAGGTTTATCTCTGTTACCGAGTGCTATGGATTCGATGCCTTAAAAAATATGGTTACGACATTGTAGTTCTGATTCTAGATGTTAAATGTACTTTGCGGATTTTAGCCGAGCTTCTACTATGAACTTCTTGTAATTTAACTTAAAATTTTCCTGCTCCACACTTTGGATAAATAGTAATGTAAAGAGGGGAAGAAGATTAAAAATTCACAAATTCTATTCACTCGCACACTCAATAAAAATGAGTTACGATCTATTCAGCACATTTACTGATTCTGATGACATACTTTATTTTCCTCGCTAGAACGATCTAGTCAAGAGTCAACTCGTAGAACTCGACAATAACCTTTCATATCTACATATGGTTCACTTGGTTTAACGAGCCGCATTATTTACATCCATCCATCTTAAATAATGTCAGTTATGAAGGCGGAAGTCTGTTTATATGTTTTTTTATTACTCCATCATCTCAACTTCAACGTCTCGTAGCAGAATTACGCAGTTTTTGTTTTAGCTAGTAGGTACTAAACAAAGCAAGTAACCTAACCTTACTTTCTTGTTCCCTGACATCTCAAGACTTGGGCTATTCAGGTTTATTGAACACAAAAGTTACACAGTTTAAGTTATAAGTTACTTCTTTCTCCTCCTAGCCTTTTTTCCAAACTAGGTTAGATTCAGCTTTAATTCTCCTACGATACAGCTGAACTTCGGTTTTTTACGTGGACCGACTGCCTTCAGACCTCCACAACCCAAGTACTAGACAATACCGAAGTTCTGTAGAAAGTTTGCTGGTGGACTTTTTTTTGGGCTCCAACTAACGGTACCGACGGCTTAAACGTGCTCTCCGAGACACGGAGGGGTCTCGATGTGTCACCCATCATAGACTGGTCACCCATCCATAGACTGACCTGGTTACACTTGCTTAACTTTGCAATGTGTTAAAGTAAGCACAAATATGGTCAATTTTTTAAGTTCAATAAAATTAATATATATGGTAATTCTATTCGCTCTCTATTAATATTGTACAACGTTCGTGTAGAATTCACTATCTACATGAATTATCGAGTGGAGACACCTGTCGCAGTGACATTGAACATGACATTGAATTACTTTATAACCTACATATTTTGTAGCCAGAGTGTTATCTGCTGCAAGTTGTGATGATATTTACAAAAACATAAATAGAAAAGGAAAATGTTTGACTTTAATATCAGTTATAGGGAATCAATCATTAATTATAAGCAGTTGTATGTATTCTAAGATTGTTTTACGCTATGTAAGTTATATGTGAAAAGCAAGATAGGTGATGTTCTGGAGTAAAACTAATAAGGTTAGGGAAATCTTATCTTCTAATTGTTATCATCTTTAACTGTAACTAATTGTTTGGGTTTGGAGCTCTGGTATTTATACGTTTAAACGAATCAATATACTCGTATTAGTTCTGAAAACTAAAATTTGATCTATTTAGTCTTTATTGTATCACCATCTGGGGCGACGAGGGGCAGGATTTCGCTGAGTTTGTCTTCTTTCAAAGCAATGGAAAGTCTGGCAAAAACCTTTGTTTTACCTGTGGAGTAATGGACCCAACAAGTCTGTTCTTTCATCGGAAATGAGCATTGTCTATGTTCCATAGTCTGTGGCTTTTCTAGGCTTAAAGCACCAACTAAGTTATATAGTTTTGCTCACCTTTCCTTATAGCATATTATATGTATAAACAACAGTTATGAAATGCCAATAACATTTTAAACCATAATTTCTTGAGGAGTTTTACTCTAAAATTAACAATGACAATTACCTACATAGAACATTTCAGTCTACAACACCATTATTATCTAAGTTCCTTTTATTTATTTATCTATATATCTATACATTTATATATAAATACAAATATGACATCCTTATAATATCCAATTAAGCACAGCCGCAATTACGTCTGTTAGTTCACCAAACACTTATTGGCACAGCGGCTACGTTTTCGTCATATTCACACGACAATCAATATCGAACTGTTTTTATAACATAGAACAATCTCTCAGTTAAGTAACCAACTATTAGTCCCTTATGTTGTCTTTGTTAATTATTCTAACCTAAAAATAACATGTTAGGTAAAGTGCAGTGTAAAGACAACTATAACTATAGAAACTATAGAAAATACTATACAAGTAAATGTTAGATTTCGTCATTAATAAAAATGGTTTAAATCTACAAAACGTATGAATCATAATTAATTCATAAGACAAAGATTCAAACCCTGCCAAAAGACATTTGGACATCACTTGGGAGGTCCAATTTCATAGCCAGAGGGGACACATTCTCTATAGAATAATCTGCTCGTATAACTGTCAGCTCCAGCTATCTACGACTTAGGAGGATCTTTGTTTTGAAATCTTTCTTTAATAATACTCGATAACATTGAAAGCATCCGAGAACATGACATCATTATATTCGTTACGCTAATTGTGATCATAATCATATTCATCACTAATAAATGTTTAGGTCACACTTCATCCATACATAATAATTGTCATTAAGGGTCATAAAAACTTAACACACTACGTATATGAACATTATATATTATGACTTAGGTACTGTCAATCTAAAAGGTAGTAACTTTATGAGCTAGTAAAACCGAACAATAATTTATATTGTTGCTTGAGAGCTAACTAATGAATACAACCCGTAGCACTTTGTAAGATGTGTTACAAATAGTCCGTTAATTACATTCTATGTAATATACGACGTATGGAAGTTAAGATATTCACACTAAAATGTGATAGATGAGCGACAGCGAGATGATAAAAATTCCATGAGCGGTCGGCACCTCTCCATTTCGAAGTTTATGTGCGAAAAGGAAATGAATTGTCCAATGCTTAAGATGTGCAGATGTGTAGATGTGGAACATATTGTAAAGATACCCTGCCCGCAAAAACGTGGACGCCTTCTGAGATTCCTCAAACTGGGCGATGCGACATCCAGGTCTGACAGAAACTCCATTACAGACTGCTACTTTAGCCGGTGGACAGCATAGGAACTCCACGAATAACCAAAGATCTATCCTAGGTATAAGATAATCCATTTCAAATTCTTAACAAATTTTAATTAAGCAAATTGATATACCCATTTTACATTTATGTGCCGAAAACGTGGGTTTATTATAAATATATGTTAAGCAATAAAGTCTTCAACATGTTTGTACATTGTATAATATACACATTAATATTTTGTGTCTAATACTCGCCTTGCAGCCTATACTTAATAAGTATTTTTATATCAAAAATCAGTTACATAGATGAAATTAGGTGTGTTTCAATTCGTGAATAACCGAGTTCAAACTTGCGCTTACTCTCATTGGTAGGATGCCAAGGGAGTCCAGCACAGGTTATGTAGTATCTTAATAATATATGTGGTAGGGGTTTGGTGATCGGAGTGGAACTGCTGTAGCCACAATCTCGGTCGGAACGTGGTTCGGATAGTAGTGTCCCACGATCAGTGCTAGTGACGAATAATTCTTGTAAAGTATTTTAGTGATACTTACATTGGATATTAGCTAGTGCAAGTGTCTGGATGACCAGGTGAAATGTGGAGTCTAGTGATTTTCTGTAAGTACACATACACAGGCACTAACATTAGGCCATTATCAATGAATGTTAAAGGATGCTCCATATGCAGAGTAATTACTCTAAGAAATAGATCTCAGGGTAAACGGACTGTACCTAATTCGTAATTTGGATTTATATATTTGGCACGTACATAGTGCCTAGTACATAGTGTCTACCTATATACCCTCATAGTAATACATTCTTTTTTGTTATCGAAAAAGTATTCTACTTAATTTTAATAAAAAAATAAAAGGTCGCATCTATTTCGTTCATACAGGTAGGTATAAAAAGCCAACTAATTAAGAAGTTAAAAGAAAGGATTGTTTTTAAACTTAGAATACATTAATTTTTTATTTTCTTTTTGTGTAATTTTGCAGGATTTCATTCTGGATTTAAAACAACACACGCAGGATTTAATAATAGAGATATTCTATCATGTAGGTACTCTGTAATAGTCTCGAATGTGCCAAACTCTGTTAGCGAAAATTCCATTTGGTTTGTATCTGGAGCTTTAGAAGCTCAAATTGAACTATCACAATGCACCCTCTGTGTGTGCAGTAATATGAATATTGTTATTAACTCCAGAAACGTTTTAAGCGAACTGTAGTACAGGAACCTAATCACTCAACCCTAATAGCTTTGTATATAGGAATGCATAATAACAACAAATAATCCTATTAAAGTAAACGGCAGAACCATTTACTACAACTTAAATTAGATAATATTCAAGTTTTATTTCTGTATACATTGTATAATAGAAATGCTACCGAAAACGAAGATAGACGATAGTACTAATGATATCTCTGATGATGGGTAAAAAATAATCGACCTCAACAAAAAAAAATCTTTAAAAAACATTTTTTTGGAACGAATTTTTTTATAGAGCGATAGAGAGACCAAAAAATATATGACAAGACTTTTTTCCGACACTTTGAGTTTAAAGCAGACTGTAGAGCAAACGACAACCAAAAAAGCCGTTTTAATGATAATAATCATTTATTTGCATTAAAATACATATAGTTTAACATTAAAATACATATAGTGCACCAATTTTCTAACAGCCTATGGCAGTCTGAACATAGAAGTACTCTCGACGTGTGATCCAACACCAAATCTTTAACCTTCCTTAAATTAATTAACCTTAAATTTTATGACCAATCCTTCACTGTTGAAGCTGTGCGCTTGTGGAATGCACTGCCGCTTAACATCAGGCAGGCGCAAACATTAAATAGATTCAAGAAAATGGTACAGGAATTTTATTCACCTTAAGAGTCCACCACGCTTGAGGGTGTAACGAAACTGTTTCTCTTTTCTATATGTTTATTCATTTAAGAATGCGTATATATATATATGTATGTGTATATGTATATCTGCTGGTATAGTATGTGGGTACTTATATATATGTAGGTTTATTTATTGTGATATGCATTGTAGATGTAAGTATAAAAAATTGTAAATGTTTGTAGATAGTATGATATGTGTAGTATATGTAATATGTATAGTGGATAATAGTAAACAAATAGTAGGTTCACAACAATTCAACTACTACTGTCTCTCTGCAACTTTTGATCCATCCTAAGGTTGCCTGGAAGAAATTGCATTTAGCAATAAGGCCGCCCTTTGTACACTCGATATTTGATCGTTGTGTTCCTTTCTTGAAACTCTGTAATTTAGTGTGCAAATAAAGAGTTATCTATCTATCTATCTATCTATCTATCTTCCCCAGTTTCAGTAACCTTTCTCAGTTATCTTCCTCAGGTCGTCAGTCCATCTGGCTGGGGGGGGTGTTTTAACTTCCTTTTACTGATTTAAAGTCCCTACTCGTAGAGAAGAGCAAATGGGTCCTGAGACCATTTCGAAATATTTATTCTGCAAGTTGTATCGATACAACATTGTTTTTATTGTCTGTCGAATCAGCTGATTTGCAGACATGTAAAATAAAAAATTCTTAATCTACTTTTCTCAAAAAGGAGATAAGTTATGTAAAAAATATAAGTTGCTTTAACTATGGTGTATTGCTTCATATTGCCCCTTTTTTGAGTATAATATTGATGAGTTACTGATATCTATTGCCCGCTCTTGATTACTTACTTTAAAAAATAGAGGAAATTTAATAAGCAAACTTGTTCAAATAGCTTTTTATTCCAATTTTCACATTAAGATTTCCAAAATACGTAATATAACGCCGAGCGGCAGCGAGGAACGGGTGAAAAAAGGGTATCATCATCATCAATTTAATAGTCCACTACTGGACATAGGCCTCTTCTTAGATAGGAGGTTTTGGCCTATTATACTACGCTGGCCAGACGGGTTGGTATAGGGTTTGTTTCAAGTTTTCCTTCTCTTTACAGTACCATTGTCTTGTGTAGATTGCTTCCTTAGTCGGCTCTTAGGACACCCACGGGATAAATTAACCCCTATTTATCCCGTGGGTCTTGTATTCTTAATCCGTCATTACACGGACAAAGGGTACAAATAAATACATACTTTTAAATGAAACATCTCAAAATTTAGACACACAACAATAAGTAAAAACGTCTTAGCTTTCTTAAGATAAAATTTAGATTACATAATCTAAATTTCGAAAACAGCTTCAATGATTTTCATGAAATTTAGTACGCAGGGGGTTTCGGGATCACTGGGAAGGGATGTTTCGGAGATCACCTGTGTCTGATCCGCAAGGAGCCAACGCCTGAGTGCCACCACTGCGATGGCCGCCACGAGGTCTCTCTCGCGGGACCTCCGTCCTCCATAAGCGCAGGCCTGGGGGTGACAGGTGAGGCCATCTGTCACCCTAGCAGAAGCAGGCCGGGGTGGCGGCGAGCGCGTTGCGAAGCGCGCACAGGGAACATGGGGTTCCCACACGGGGGGGGGGGGGTCGTCTACTCGTCTGTAGATGACCCGAGGTATGTCGGGGCACCAGGGACTTCCTTTCTAGTCTAGTTTTAGTCGGTTCGTGTCCGACATGCCACCGGTGGTATCCGAGGGGATTTACACACGGAAAAAAAAAAAAGGGGGTTTCGGGAAAGATTAATCGATCTAGCTAGATTATCTTTGATTTTTACGAAGAAAAAATATAGAGCAAAGCTCGGTCATCCAGGTACTATCACTAAACAGTGATATCAAATAAAAATTATATACGTAGATAAATCTTCTATATAAAAATGTTAAGTTGGTTTGTGTACGCTTCAAAAACTCAAAAAGTTCCGCATCGATTGAGCTTAAATATTGACACGATATACAACACGCTTCAAGGATGGTTTTATCTATTCTTTAGAATCATAATATCCCACAGCAAAGCGCGGCAGGGCACAGCTAAGAGGTTATATACTTATATAGATCTCAGTAAGATAACCGTGAATGATGGTTTCATGTTTTGTTGCCTGTATCGTATACTTACTTAGCAATTAGTAATACTTATGTTAATTAGACGCTCATAGTTCCTTGGATTTTTATCATTGTGAAAGTTAAATATCTTTATTCATTCATATCAGTAAGTTATAGTTCCCTTCCCCCCGGACCGCGGTTGCGAGTTAACGTGTTCACATTACCAATTTTGAATAAAATAAATACATATTTAAATAATAAATTAGTAAATCAAATAGTGAAGTACCAGGCGCCCATAGCGTGGCAGCGGTTCGCAGAGTCAGTGTGCGAAGAAGACAGCAACAGGCGAAACGGACATACAAGTTAAGTCTCCCTTCATAATTGTCTGACATACTAACTGTCACCTGCCATATATTACCTAGCAAAGTCACTTGTCAAGGGACACCTGTCAACGTCAGATGTCAGGTGTCACCCGTCAACGTCAATTGTAAAGGTCTATCTGTCAACGTCACCTGCCAAAGTCGCTGTCAACGTCAACCGCCATTCGAGCTTCCGGCTAGGGTTGCCATGACCCAAACGAAAACCCTCATTTCTACTCAGTGGGTATTTTTTTGTGATTGATCTGAGTCCAGTTTTATCAATTTTATCGATCTTTTTGTGCAGCGTCGACCCCGTCACACCGACACTGGGACAACAGGTACGCATCACTACATATTCCCCAGTGTAAAGATACGAGCCTAAGTTGCTGCAAAATAGAGAGGTCAAGTTTCGCTGGCCGCCAGTGAATTTGTTCTGAATCGTCGATCGGTGACGTTGTATAGTTGATTGCTGCTTGTTTTGACTTGTTGATAGCCTGATATCTGCTATAAATTTCTGATAAAACGATAGCCTAACGTAAGTCATGTCACTACGCCGTACTCCACCCACCTCATCTGCTGTGCCTGCGCCTCAACAGGCGTTTGATTCTGATACTACTTCAGAACGAGGAGGCAATGTTAACACACGGCAAAAGCGTAGACGCGGAAGCGACGATGACCACCGGCAAATCAGGAATGAAATGTCAATGATATCAAACAAACTTGATCAATACTTTTCGGAATTGAAACAACAGAATACCGAGCTAAGAGACAGCCTACAGTTTATGTCTGAC